GAGGGCGGTCCCGTCCCGGCCGCCTGAGCCCCGCCTCTGCAGCGCACGGTGCGCATGCGCGCCTTCTTCGGGCGAGGGGCAGGACGGGAGCTGCAGTCGAAACCGCAACCCTGAGGAAGCCAAGACGGATTGCTCACCCTGAGGCAGGCAGGACCCCAGGAGTTATCTAGTGTCTCTAAAAACACCAGTACCTTCTACCTAAATATGACCCTCATTGTAACTTTTACTTAGAAGTTTTTGGAAGTGTCCTCATATTTACACACTATCTGGTGGGGATGTAGCTCAGTGGACCTGCGCCTGCCTGGCAAGTGCAAGGTCCTGAGTTCGACACCCTGTACCCACACCCCTGAATTTACACACTATACACTACATCTCTCCCCTACCCCTTCTTCTCCCTGCCCTTTTATTTTGGTTTTGGTTTTTTGAGGCAGGGTCATGCTACATTGTTCAGGCTGGCTAAGAACTCACTATGTAGCCCCGGCTGGTCTTGAATTCACAGGACAATCCTGCCTCAGCCTCCACAGTGCTGAGATCATAGACGTGCACCACCACACCTGGCTATGTTCCAGTCCTTTTAAAACTTACCATATCCACCCGATATCTAGGCTTAAACTTCAATTAAAGAAAATGTCTTTTAATTTTGGACCTAGAGAAAACAATGATTGATTTTTGTTTCATGCCTTTCACATTTTACTGCATTTACTGGCACTAGAGTATTTTTTATTGGTGCATATTAGTACAGAATGAGAGTCATATGGTACACTGGCACATGCATATAACATATTTTAACTATATTCATCCCCATTACCTCCTACCCCCTTTTGAAACAGAGCCTTGCTAGGTAGTCCTGCCTCAGCCTCCTGAGTGCTGGGATTACAAATGTGTGCCACTGCACCCAGGGCTTAGTGCTTCAATATGCATAGAGGTATTATTATTTTGGCTCATCAATGTTTTGTTTCTAAGTTTAATCAAAACTCCTAAATTCTAGAAACTAGCCCCTAGCTTTGCATGGAGTCCTTGCTCTTTACAAGTAGGATGTTCAAGTAGTATTACAAGCAATAGATCAAAACTGTTTTGAACCCTGGGCCTGGAAATCTTTTATCAAGTGACAACACTCAAAGTTTTTTTTTATTTTAAAGCCTGACAGAAGTACCAATAAGCTAAAAAAAAAAAAAAGCCTGTTAAGTCCACTCAGTGGCACAGTGCCTGTCTGGCAGGCGCAAAGTCCTGAGTTCATTTCATGATGGGGGGGCTGATAAAAGATGAAAAATTACCATTTAAGATATGTATCTGTGGCCTGGGGTCAGCTCAGTGGTAGGCAGAGCGCTTGCTTAACATGCCTGATGCTATGGATTCCATCCCCAGCACGAGAGGCAAAAAAATAATGAACCTATTCAAGTTTGATTCTTTATACAGCTTGCAATTCTTGATTGGGACTGATAGCTTAAGGAAACAAGAACTCCATCTTCTGGAAGGATCAGTTATTTTTTCCCTCAGGCAGGCTTGCTGCTTATTCAAACCAGACTTTCAAAGAAATGCAGTTTTATATTCACTTTTTGTTCTTTACCAAACTTTGCATTTACTCCTATATACCACCTAAATCCAAACTATTTACCTCAAATCCTTGGTCTATGTATGTCTGTATGTCTTTTTATAATGTCCAAGAGTATTCCTGGTTAAAAGTCTTTAAAAAAAGCTTTTTATTTAGGCCTAGTGGTGGCAAAGAACTTTGATTCTTTTTGCTGTTTTTGTAAGATACAGAATTGTATTCAATTTTGAAAAAAAAAAAAACAAACCATAAAACTAGTGGCAGAATTTATTCACCGACTTCAATAGCTAAGAAACTTTCAGAGGCTAATACAGGATTTCGAATCCTAGAGACCAGCCTGGGCAACTTAGTAAGACTGTCTCAAAATACAGGTTGGAGGGCCAGCGATTTAGCTCAGTGGTGCTGCTGCCTGCCTTGCAAGCGCAAGGACCAGCGATCGATCCCTAGTACCAAAAATAAATAAATAAAAATTTTAAAACGGTCGAGGGGCTAAGTGTGATGGCCCATAACTGTAATCTCAGCACCCTTGGAAGGCTGAGGCAGGAGGATCACAAGCATGATCTCAGCCTGGGCAATTGAGGAACACCCTGACTCAAAATTAAAAATAAAAAAGGACTGTGGATGTAGCTCAGGGTGGAAGGCCCCTCCCAATAAATACTGCTTGACAATAAAAAAAATACCTCATTTTACCATTCTTGTGATTTGAAAATCATCAGTCTTCTGTTACTGATGAACCACACCCAAAGATTTTGTTTTGTTTTCTCAGCAGTCAACAACTAGCCTCAACTTTCCTGCTTTGCAGTTATTCATCGGAGTCCAAGAGGAACCTACCTACTCCTTTCCAGGGCCAGGGCACATAAATAACATTTGTGCTGATTTACATTATGATCTACTTCTGAAACCTAAAATTTTGATGTAGTAGGAAAAGATTGCAGAATTAGAATACTGTCTCCACGAAGCCCTTCTAAAATCAGTAGCACTAAAAACATTCAAACCCAATTCAAGAGCCAGGAAAAAGAAGGCTGGGAAAGAACAAATTAATTATCAAGAAGAATATGCAAACTAATGTTTTTTCAATGCCCATACACAATATTTTACCTCACCATTACTTTAACTTGAAGTGACTAAGAATCATTCATGGTTTCTATACGATAGAATCCAAGTCCTGACACTTCTAGTTCTGTTCTTTTATATATACCTCAATAGTAGCTGGAAAAACAACGAAAATCTCATACCTCATCCATGGAGTGTTCCATATAGTAGCTACCTGCTAAAAGTAAGAGAAAGGTATGTGTATGTGAGAAGGCAACTGGAAAGAAAACTAAGTCTGGCAGTATTTCCAGAAGTGCAGTAAATAAACTTTAAAGCATTAATATTCACAACTGGACAAGAACAATAGTTATAATATGAAGATCCACCACCAAACCCTGTCAATTTCAGAGCTGTAAGAAAACTTAGAAAATAGGAGATGGCACACATCTGTAAATCCAGATGAGGCTGAGGCAAGAGGATCACTGTGAGTTTGAGGCCAGCTTGAGCTGCATAGTGAGTTCAAGACCAGCCTGAAATACACAGCAAGACTCAAAAAAACCAAACAACAACAACAACAACAACAACAACAAAAACAGGTGTGATGACACACGCCTTTAATTCCTAACACTCTAGAGGCTGAAACAGGGGGATCACTGGTGTTCAAGGCCAGCCTGAGCTACACAGTGACATCAAAACCAGCCTAAATTACAGAGGAAGGCTGTCTTAAATTTTTTTTTTAAAGGAAAGAAAACAGGAGAAAAGGTGTACTAAATAGGTTTAGGAACATTATCAAAGTTATACATACAGGAGAGAATGGTACTAGTCTCTTCACTTCCAACATCCCACAGTCAAGCAACTCTTCTAATTTGAGTCAAAAGGGGCAAGATATCACTTTAGTGACAATAGTGCTTTCGTCCCCTTCCTCCAATTTTGTAACTCCCAGCACAGCTCTATTCCTATTACAGTGGTAGATGAAATTTTTCTTCCAAGTAGTCTTGTTACAACTTCTGGGCGCACTCTCCTACCTCATCTTATTCGCTTTAAAAAACCAACATTATCAATTCTTTCCTCCAGCAACACACAAAACGTGAGCTCCTTCGAGTTATTTTATCTTTAATAACCTGGCCATCCATAATTCAAAATATGAAGTCAAACTTGTTCCCGTTAATGGGGATGCCGCCACGACCGCCTCACACAAGCATTATCAAAGGCAATGAAGAGACTGGCTTCCAAAGACCCGGGGTGGTAAGGCTTCTGGGCTCACGGATTGACGTCTGGTTACGGGCTCTCCGAAGGGTATCAGGAGGCAGACGAGACAGGCCTTTGAAGGAACCCTCAGAGGACCGGGCGCGGCAGTTGGGTCATGAGCACCTTGAAGCGCTTCTTTATGGTGATTCGGTGTCGAGAGTACTTGTCGTCCGGGGAGAACCGAGCAGGATGGGCCGAGCAAGTCTGTTGTCCCATTGGGTCAAATTTCTGCTCGAGGAAGAAAATGATCTCAGCGTAAAAGTGTGTGTGTGTGTGTGTGTGTGTGTGTGTGTGTGTGTGTGTGTGTGTGTGTGTGTGTGTGTGTGTGTGTGTGTGTGTGTCTGTGTAGATATATATATAGGCGACAACAGAAAAAAAGGCAAACGTGAAGAGATGGTCAGACCAAGAGGGAGAGCGCCGCGGGCTACACCACAGCCTTCAGGCCCCCCGCACTGAGCGAGGCAACTCGGCAGCTGGTCTCCAGCACCCCTCCCACCCACATTCCTCCCGTGTGCTCCTTTAAATACCTTTTTCCTCTCCTTACCTTCAGCGTATACACCCGATCTCCCTGCTCGTTCATGTAATACTGGAGAAACATGGCCACGCTTAAAATAGAAAAGTCCGCCGCCACAGCACCGCTCACAGCCCAACCGTTTCTCAACTTCCTTCCTGCGCAACGGGAAGCTTTTGTCCTGAAGCATGCCGGGAAATGTAGTTCACTCTGGTTTTAGGGTCAACTGGCCAGAAGGGGGCGCACTGGGGCAGGGCTTGGCGTGGGGCAAATCGCAACCTTGTAGGTGTTCTAAAGTCCCATGGAGTGTGCCCCTTGTGTGCCAGGCAGTGCTAGGTCTTGGGGGCTTTGGAGGGTTAGGGATGGACGTGGATTGAACACTGATGTAGGCAGCCATCCTGTCTTGATCTCAAGGTGCATACCCATTTCAAAATATAAGTGGTAACGGTCTAGCGCCCGGAGAGACGACGGCTCCGGAATTCAAAAGTCCTTATACCCCAGGAAAGATTTTTTACCTCCCCACTTTTACATCCGGTCTCCCGCCCCCCATTTCGAATCATTGGCGGTAAAGAGTGCCTGATGGGTACTGGATATTCTGCGAACAGAACGTTAAGCGGACAGAACGTTAGGTTTGTTTGACGAAACGGAGCAAGCGTGTTTCAGTGGTCGAACTAAGATTCAGACTAAGGCCTCTTAACGGCAGTGCCCGCGCGCTCTTACAGCGGTGAGTAACATGTAATAGCATTATAAAGTGCCCCTTCTCGAGTACTTAGAAGTTTCGAAAGAACGTAGATATTCTCTTTATAATTTAAAGAAACGAAAATGAGAACCAGGATATTACAAAGATGGTGGCCATTGTAGCGCTGTTTATAGTGGCAAAACATTGGAACGTATATTAATTTTGAAAACAGAAAAACCTGAAAGGTTTTTTTTTTAAATACCATTTGTATTTGTAGTTGTATAAAATATATTCTCAGTGATTCACAAGAAATGTGAAATTGGTTTTCTCTGGGACAGAGAAGTTGGTTGCGGGGGAAAGATGTGGGAGGAATATTTTTTGTTGTATATTTTATTTTCCACAAATTGACTTTTGAACCATGTTAAAGTACTATTTTAAAAGTTTTTAAAAACCAACAACATAATTTAACAAAAAGGAAAGACTTTCTGGCCTAGAACTTTTAGGCTGCATGGCAAGTGTTTTGTTTTTGTTTTTGTTTCTTAGTGAGGTTTTTTTTTTTTTCAGCAAAGAGAAGGGCTGTGGATTGCGTGGACTTCAGTGTTTCTAGCAGTGGACTGTTTGGGGATTATAGGGGCAGTTTTCCAAGGACGGGACATGCACCCGGAAGTTTAACAGCCTGGGTTCTGAGACAATTCTAATTTTAGACATTTGGTTCCCTCAATTCTTAGCTATACAGACTGTGTACTCTGAATTTGGTTGGAAAGTATAGCCATAGTTAAATTAAGCCAAATGTGTAGCACAAATCTGTTATTAGGAAATTGGTTACAGAGCTGGGTGGGATTGAAGAACACAAGAATGGATAATGTTGGTGAAGAATTGAAGTATAGGGAACCAAAAAATAAAACAATAGTGTAATGTTTGGAATCTGAGAAGGGATTTACAAATTCCTGTAAAGAGGTGCCCATCAGTTGTGTTACCAAACTGTAGTTTGGAAGGAATTAGTGGGTCTCTTTGTGTGTGTGCGAGTGTGCGTGTGGTGGTGGTTGGTGTACGGAGGACTGAAATTGGGCCCTCACATTGAGCTGTGTCTCCAACCTCTGTAAAAAATTAATTTTTTTTTTTTTTTTTTGTACCAGGGATTGAACTCTCGTCCTTACACTTTCAAGGCAGGCCGCAGAACCACTGAACTAAATCCCCGGGCCTAAAAAATTAATTAATTAGGTTTTTTGAGAGAGGGTCTCACTATGTAACCCAGGCTGGCCTTGAACTTGTGGCAGTCCTCCTGTCTCAGCCTCCCAAGTGCTGGGATTACAGGCATGTGCCACCATATCCAGTTTATTTTCTATTTTGAGCCAGGGTCTCACTAAGTCACTAAATTGCCCAGGCTGGATCCAAACTTACGATCTTCCTGCCACAGCCCCCAGAGTATGTATCACCATGCCTGGCAAGCCCTGGTTTTGGTGTACTTACTAGAACCTTGTGTGGAGCAGCTCTCCACCAGCACCCACAGTTCTCTCTCCCATCCCCCACAGCAGAATGCTGGAATCCCAGATTCTAGTTCTGTTCTGATCCAGTCTTTGCCCTCCTTTCCTTGGATACCTGTGCATCTGCTGCAGCCAGGTCACCTTCTCCGGATCCTGGACCTTCTGGGCTCATTCTGGAGGCTTCCAGATGGAGGAGATGGCTTCGGACAGAGGTAGGTGTGCAGATGTGAGCAGGAGAGGGTCTCTGATATCTCCTCAGGTCTGTGGGGATTCTGTTTTGCCGCCTCATCCTGGGATGAGGTCTTGAGGCTGACGTAGAGGAATATGAAAATTCGTGTCCTCAGCACGGGTATCGTGCTTGGGGAGGCTGGGGAGGGTTACCACAAAGATGGGGGGCAAGGGGCTCCTTGGGGTTCATCATCAGAGCACTTCGGAGAAAACACACTGAGAATAAGAAATAGATGGCAGGTAGCAACCTGGGTCCCTGGAAGAGGGGCCATTCCATGTGTGTCTGTGTAGAAAAAGCTCAAGGCAAAAGCCCACACTCCTGTGTCTTCCTTTGGCAACTGGACTTGGCTCTAGGCTTTTTGTCCTAAGGGGATGGAGCTGGAGCCTCTCTTAATCTTTTGAGGGGAAGGGGGTGAGTGATGAGGTAGTGGGGATTAAGGGGGCGGGTTTTCTCAGCAGGAAAGCATTTAGTGGGGTTAGCTGTGTAGGGGCATGTCCTGGGAGCAAGACTAACTGCTCAGATCTTCAGCAGCAAATTTAATTCACTTAGGATCGCAGGAATCGGGAAAGTGATTTCATTTATTTGTTTATTAGTTTATTTTTTTGGTTTTTTGAGAAAGGGTCTCACTAGGTCTCACTATGTAGTTGAGACTGCCCTGGAACTCACTATGTAGCCGAGGCTGGTCTTGAACTCACAACGATCCTCCTGCCTCAGCCTCCCGAGTGCTGGGATTACAGGCGTGCACCACCACGCCCAGCATGATTTTATTTATTTATTTATTTATTTTTTTTCTGCATGGAGTTCATTGGTACTTTTTAAGTATACAGCACAGTCACATTCATCATTGGGATTTTGTACTTTTCCATGACAGGTCTTGGTTCTCATTTTTCCCCCATATCCCTGCCCTCCCTTCCCCTCCCCTATTTACAAAGACTTTGTTTCCATTTTTTCCTTTTCTCATATTTTTTTTCTTTTCCCTTATTTCCTTTCCCCTACACTTTCCACCGGGTGGGGGGAAAGTGATTTTATTTATTTATTTATTTTTTTTTTTTTGGTACCGGGGATTGAACTCGGGTCCTTGGGCTTGCAAGGCAGGCCACCAAACCGCTGAGCTAAATCCCCGGCCCGGAAAAGTGATTTTAAAAGTGGTTTCTCCAGCACATTTTAAGAAAAGGAACCAAAAGTTATTTTAGCTTCCTCAATAGATTCCATGCTGCCCATGAGGATAATAAATTAATATTAAATGCAGTATATGTTTTGTCTTTATATGGCATCTGCTTAGGAGTTGTTCAAATCACTGCAGTAGGGCTCTGAAAATAAAATCATGTAACCTATTATCATGCATCTAATGTACTGTAACTTTATCAGTGAATGGTAAAACTCTTGAATAACAAGTACATTGAACAATTACCTATAAAGATTTGTAAAAGTAAATATTTTCCACAGATTTCATTCTTGTGGTTTTGTAAGAGGACCCTGCAGTCCACCTGTTTGTAACTTTTTAAATAAAATAGACATCTGTATTAAAAATAAATTAAATTAAGGGCTGGGGATTTAGCTCAGTGGTTCTGGTGACTGCCTCACAAGCTCAAAGACCTGAGTTCAATCCCCGGTACCAAAAAAATAAAATTAAATTAAAAATTAAATTTGCTGTCTCAGCCTCCCGGAGTGCTAGCATTACAGACTTACACTCCTTCCAACCCTCCAGGGGCTTCTCCTTCAGTTAGCAGTTTCTCCTGATCTGTCGGGCCACCAGAAAAGATTGGCCACTCCGGGTGAAAGGAGAGAGAGCTGGGTTTTCCCTGAGATATGCTCAGTTTTCCTCCCTTTTGTGAGTCCAAGTCCTGAGACCCATTTCATTGTGTTGGGTATTTGGTGGAGCATACTAGCCCTCTGCTGTGTAGTTGGGACGAGTGTGAATCTGAGTTTGCTCATGCTGTGTCTCCTTTGTGGTCAGCAAGTAGAAGCTGAGTGCTGTGGTTTACTAGTGGAGTATTCGTACCAGGAAAAAGAGTAGGCAGATTAGGTGCTATTATTATTAAAATCCTGGGAGCCACAGGTTCTGATTTTTTGTTTGTTTGTTTGTTTTTTGAGACAGGGTCTCCCTATGTAGTTCAGGCTGGCCTCAAGCTCACAATGATCTTTCTGCCTCAGCCTCCCAAGTGCTGGGATTACAGCCATTTACCATGCCTGGCCCTGATTTGTTGTTCTTGTGCTTACCCGCCCCCTGCTCTCCCTGACTAGAAAGAGCCTACAGAGCTCCTCAGCAAGAATTGTGCTCTCATGTCACGGCCCTTTCCTTAGCACCAGCTCCACGACTTGTTCCCTTTGGGCCTGAGGTATCTGCTGTTTGGGACTCCAAGGAGAAGGGCCGCAGATAGTTGGCATTATCCATCAAACCTGAACACATCTGGCAGTTACTTACAGCTCTGGAAACCCCCTCTCTCAGCACCCTTTCCTTTTTCGGTCCTTGTCTGACCCTCTCTAGTTATCCTGGCTGTTACATGTTATTTCTGTGAGCCCAACAGCCAGTCACATTTCCCTTTCTTGGAACTGTACTTCAGTGTGAGGCAGAGGGGCCACAGGAGCCAGGTGCAGAAGCTTTGAACCTACTGTTTGGGGTATGTGGGGATAGTAGATGTACAAGTATGCTGGGAAGGATGTGTTTAGGGTATGAGCTTTATGGGTCCTAGAGTTGTTTTTCCTGTTCATAGACTGCATCTGTCTTAGTCACTTCCCATCGCTCAGACTCGATGCCCATCACTCACAGCTTAAAGGAAGACAGGTTTACCAGCTGTTAAGTATGCAGCTAGCTAGCTCTGAGACGAAGATGCATGGCCCAATGTCCTGGCGAAGGAAAGCTGCTCATCCCGAGGAAGCCAAGAAGCAGGAGAGAAAAGGAATCAAGTACAAAAATGCCCTCTTTTCAGCCAGGCATGGCTGTAATTCCAGCACTCAGGGAGCTAAGGCAAGAGGACTCAAGGCCAGCCTGGACTACATATTGAGTTCAAGGCCACCCTGAACTGCATAGTGAGACCCTCCCTGTCTCAAAAACAAACCACGCCAAGGATTTAGCTCAGTGGTACCACCACCTCCCTCAAAAGCGCAAGGTCCTGAGTTCAATCCCTGGTACAAAACAAAAAACAAAACCAAGACACTGTTCCGATTAAGATGTGTTAAGTACATGTACTGACTCCACAATGAATGAAATCATTATGTACTACAAGCATGTGCTAATAAAAATAAAAAATATTTCAGCACTGGCAAGGCTGAGGCAGGAGGATCACCAGGAGCTCAAGACTCTATCTCAAAAGCCAAAACAAAAATAAAAGCATAACCTCCCCAGATATCCTGCCAGGTCACACCCCCAGTGACCCACCTCCAGCCAAACCCCTCCTCCCAACAGCACAGTCTTCTAAACTCATGAATGGATGAATCCACTGCTGTGTGTAGACTTCCATGTCCAGTCACCTCCACACAGGAGGATTTGAGAGGGATGTTTTAGAGCTAAACTGTAATGGCATTTTTTATGTGTTGTTTTATGTCAGGAAAGAGAGATCATATAGAGTAATAGGAAAGGAAAAGAGGGTGGACCAGTAATCTTTTTGAAATTATTTCCTCTTCAAGGGCCCTGTGGATGCTTCAGCTACTGGACTGGTGAGGGAGGTCTGCCAGGAATGTTCTTAGTCAAGCTCTTAGGTACAGTGGTGGCTTGGGCTTGTGTCTGTCTTGACCTTGACAGTGACTCTGTAGTGAGCCCAGACCCCCTGTGGTGTTGGGACACATGTGTCTTTGTGTCTTGTTGAGAACTGACTAACTTGCCAAGTGCAGTCATTTTTAACTGGGAACAGGGGACATCAGAATATCTTGGGAGAGCAGGATGTAGTGGCGTACACCTTTGTGAGCTAGTGTGAGCTAGTGGCACTCAGAGGCCGAGGCAAGAGGATCACAAATTTGAGGCCACCCAGGACTACACAGAGATCCAGTCTCAAAACACCTAATTAGCAGCACTGAGGAGGCGGAGGCAGGAGGATTGCCACAAGTTTAAGGCCAGTCTGGGCTACATAGTGAGTTTAAGGCCAGCATGAGCTACATAGCAGGGCTCTGTCTCAAAAAACCAAAATGAAAACAACAACAAAAAACAAAACCAAAACCCCACTGGGGAGATATTTGTAAACTACACAAGTTCTCCATCTGTATCTGCTCCTTCACTTGTTGAGAATCAGTGCTTTGCTTCTGTAGTGACTATAGGGGAACTCAGGTGGCCTAACTACTCCATTCACTCCTTTTCTTTGTCTCAACAGCATCTCCATTGCTGGGACCAGATGAGGGCATGAGAGCTGGGGCTGCCCCATCTCCCTTCACCACCCTGCCCTTTGCCCTGCCTGCTCCTGCTGCACCAGACCAGCCTGTACAGGAGCGGCCACTGCCAACACAGCCCCCTGTGCCTCCGGCATTCTCTCCAGCTGACCCTCTGGTGCTCTCTGCTTTCCGCAGCCCACTACTGATGACAGGGGATGCGGGCCCCGGCCCCAGTGGAGTGGAGGCTTGCCTTGTCAAAGTTGAGACAGAAGCTGGGCCAGCTGAGTCCTTTCAAACTCAGAAATTTGTTGTTACCCAGCCAGCCTTCAGGGTTACCTCGGGGGCTGCCTGTGGAGGCCTGGAGGGTCCTGCGCCTCAGTATGTGACAGCCTCTAATGTGAACGCCATACTGCCCACTTCCATGGTTTCTATGAACCAGGAGGGTCCCTCAGGCCTTCTTCCTCAGGCTCTACCACAAGCTGTCCAACTGCCCCCTATTGTGTCCCCAGAAAAGGCTTGGCCTGGGCCACAAGGGGCCACTGGGGAAGTAGGACGAGTGGCCACCAGACAGGCCCCATTGGGTCAACTCGCCTATGTTTCCAAGGGTGTTTATGAGAACTTCCTTCGCTGGCAGTGCTACAAAGCCTTAGCCCGGAGACATCTACCCCAAAGTCCTGATGCAGAAGCTCTTTCCTGCTTTCTTATGTAAGTGGGGAACCTGAGGTAGATTATCCTCGTGCTTTAAGAGAACTTTGGGATGGACACAGAGGTTAGCTATACTGGAGGGCAGATCTTGAGTGTGAAGATGCTATGACAAGGAAAAACAATAATCAGCCTCCTTATCCTCTTCCCAGTTCATAACAAGCTTTCAGATGTCATTTTTAAAGTGATCTCACAACCCTGTGAGTTCAGGCAAGCATTTTTGTGGTAGTCCTTATTTACAGATGAAAAGATTCAAGTTCAGAGGGGTTTCCTGCCTTAAAGCAAGAAGCAGTGATTGGAACCTGGGTTGCTGCACTCCAAGTGTCAGAGTCCTCCCGGTCTGTGTCACTGCCCTGTGACACTGAACTGAGCTGTTGGACCCAGCTCTCATTGCTGTAGTGGGAAAGGACAGGGCTGGGCCAGCGTCAGGGCTTCTGTGTGCTGCCCCCTCCGTACTGAACTTGGAAGTCAGGGTGGAGTGGGGAAAGCATGGAGCTTGCCAGGCTCTTCCACTCACTAGATTTGTGATCCTGGTGGGGGTAGTTAGCACTTTCCATTTTCTCATTTAAAAAGCGGGTAATTATACCTACCTGATGGTTGCTGGAAAGATTAGAAGTGTTTGGCAAGATGCCTGGCATAGAGAATGCATCATAAATAGTGACTCTTTTATTATGGTTATAAAAACACAATCCAAAGGAGGAAAAGAGCCCACAAAAGGCCAAAATGTTCTTGATTAAGAATGTATACTTAACCAAGGAACCTGGGGTCAGAGGCTGTTTTGTTTATAAAGCCATCAGTAGTCATCTGGGAAATTTTCTCTCCTTCCCAACCAGACCAGCTGTCTAGCTGCACTGTACCCTGAACATTTTACACAAACCACTGTATGCTGTTGTACACTCCACTTTAATGAACTTTGAAAAGCCTTGCATGTTGCTCATCCAGTGTCAGAATTCCCGGAGGCTTCTGCTTTGCCCTGGCCTTTGGAGCAAAGGGTTCCAGAGGCTCCCTGAAGTCCTAGATACACAGCATCTTGCTGATTTCTTGCTTTCTCCAGATAACACTGAATTTTCTCTTTGAGCCTGAAAGACTGAATTTCTAAATCTTGAGCCAGTATGGGCGCTCAAATTTTGCTTGAGCTCCCTTCACTTCTGGTCCTGGCCAGTTCCTGCCTCCTATGCTCAGGGACTCTGGGCAGGGTCTCCCTCCAAATGCAGTTGAGCCCCTCTACCTGGGAATCTGGGTGAATGCTGGGTCCTGGGATGCGAGGGTCCTGCAACCCATGGTCACAGCAAGCTTCTGCAGGTGATTCAAATGCACAATAATGTCTGAGGAATCAAAGGGGAGCCAAGAGGCAAAAATGAAGCCCCAAGGCTGGAGATTTAGCTCAGTGGTACCATGCCTGCCTTGCAAGCGAAAGGTCCTGAGTTCGATCTTTGGTACCTAAAAATAAATAAATAAATAATAAATAAAAATAAAGCCCTTACTTTAGGCAGGGCTCTTGATAGCTTTTGGATCTGAAAGAACTCCAGGCTTTCCAGAACTCAGGTTCTAATACTATATTTAAGGGTCTGTGATGGTAGGCTGTAGACCTAACTAAAAGTATCAGTGAATAAAAACAACACACATCTTTAATTGGAGATTCATTTGGGTTACGAACATCTTAAAATTTAAGAGGAGCTGGGTATGGGTATAATCCCAGCATTTGGAGCCAGGTGGATCGCTGTGAGTTTGAGCCCATCCTCAGCTACATAGTAAGATCAAGGCCAGGCTGAACTACATAGGCAGACTCTGTATTAAAAAAAAAAAAAAAAAGTCCAGTATGGTGGGGCATGCTATGATCCTAGCATTTGGGAGGTTGAGGCAGGAGGATTGCTGAGTTTGAGGCTAGCCTGAGCTACATAGGGAATGACTGTTATTTATGAACAGGAATGTTTTCTTTCTAGTGTTGAGGTTAGCACTGTGCAAGCTAGCAATGGTTATCATAGTTGATTTCAAAAAGTGGAGAGAAGAGTCACAGTCTGTGTATTTTGCAGATCTCAATGGGAAGAGTTGAGTAGGGTTAAGGGCCTGGAAGGGAAGTGGGTGGGGGTCTGGAAGTCTTATTAGAAGTGCAACATGACAGGGCCTTTGGGCCATGCTGAGTTTGAAGAGGGGGTGAGGGGGACTGAGGTGGGTGTAGTTGTTGTGGACACTTTCAGAATGTGACTGACCCATTGGGGTTTTAGCCCAGTGCTTCGTTCCCTGGGTCGGAGAAAGCCCATGATGACCCTGGAGGAGGGACTGCCACGAGCTGTGCAAGAGTGGCACCGCACCAGCAACTATGACCGGATGGTGTTCTATGAGATGGCAGAAAAGTGAGTCTCACTGACCCCTCACTGGCTCCGAGTGGGGCTATGTGGCTGAGAGTGGAAGGGGCATGGAAAGAAGATGTGTGGGTGTTTATTAAAAGGCCGATCAGGAGGAGGGGCATAGGCTAGGACAGGCTTCCCTGGATTCTTCTACCTGGACTCTCAGGTTTTTCTGTCTTACTGCCCTCCACCTCTGAGGTAGAACCTGAATAGGAGCCTTGTAGTGAAGCTCTTGGGGTGGACCAGAGCCCTGTATGTGTAACAGCTCTACGATGAAGTGAGGAAGCCTTTTGAGGATGGTTCTTTCTTGTGACCAGGTAGCAAGTAGCTATTGGTGCAGAACTTCAGGGCCCCTCCCCCTCATCCAGGGAGGGGCTGGTTCTGGGAGGGTTGGTCAGCAGAAGCAAAGTGTTTGGCTCTTACACCCCATTTCTCCAGGGTATACTTGGCTCAAAGAAAAAATTAACTGTGGCCAGGCACTGTGGCACATGCCTGTAGTCCCAGGCTCTCTGGAGGGAGAGACAAGAGTATTGCTTGAGCCCAGGAGTTTGACACCTGGCCAATATAGCAAGACTATCCCAAACCAAACAAAACCAAAAAAACCAAACCAATTCTGGGGAAAGTGAACTCTTTCTTCTAAGCTTTCACTCTTCCCCTCAAATCTTCTGGACTCCTGCCAGGGTGTCCTTCCAGGGTTTATCCTTAGGTATTTAATTCCAGGACACCAGTCCAGCCTCAGGCTAGCAGTGCCTGCTGATGGGAATTCTGCCATTCTTTGTGGTTATAGATGAGGGCACATGAGATCTCGAAGAGGGTCCGCTTGTGGCATCTTGTCAGGCTGTGACCAAGTCCAACAAGCCTGTACTCAGTACTGCTGCATGCAGTCGGTGAGGCTGGGTGAGCTAGATTTAGAAAAGTAAAGGCTGTGGCTGTGTCCTGGAGAGGCTTGATCGTTCATTTGCTTAACAAGCTTCCCGGGTGACCACTTTAGGTGAACGTGTGAATTTTCCCCCACAACAGTGTGTGTCATCAGGCTACCTGTGAGCAGCTTTCCCCTGGAGACTTGACTTAGATGAGCCCTTTCCTTCTTGTCCATGCTTGGCCGCTGCCTGGTGTCTGGGTTCCTGTCAGGCTATTGCCTTCTTAGCATTGTCCATGTCTTCCTCACTATCTGCAGGTTCATGGAGTTTGAGGTAGAGGAGCTGCAGATTCAGAATGCACAGGTGATGCATAACTCCCAGGGCCCATCTTCTGCAGCCCCTTTAAAACTTGATCCTTCAGGGCCCCTGGCCCCAGAGGCTTGCCAACAGCCAGGTAAGGCTATCCATTTGTAACGGGAGAAATGGGCCAGAGCCTTAAAGGAGGGAGGCATAGGAAAATCAGGCATGGATTAGGGAAAGCATTGCCTTTACTTCTGCCACTTGCTTTCCAGGAAGTGGCATTTTATGTTCCAAAGAATGTCCCATAGGAGGTTGGGCTCTCAGGTTCCCTCAGTCTTGACCAACTATTGGCTACTGATCTTGATCAAGTAAACTATTCTTTTATCTAGACTGTAAACGAGGCTCATAATATCTCATGTGCCTAAGAAGTGGGGGCCAGATCAGATCAGAGAGTTCCTTTGAATTTCAGGGTATTTGGAGATTCTCCATAGTGATTTCCTCATACTCCCCACCCACCAACCCCAGCTATGAAATCTTCCATGGCTGGTATTTTTAGGATATCTTGATTCAGCCTGGAACTGTTTTGTTGTACCCGGGTTGCTGCCCTTACTAACAGAGGTGGGAGGTAAAGGCCGGTGCTTCAGTGCCACTTTGCACTCCACTTCAGTGCCATTCCGCCTCTCCCCTCAGTGTACATTCTGAAGAAGTCAGTCCCCAAGACACGTGCTCCCCGCCAGCTGCAGCGCAAACCCCAGCGGCCTCCAGTTCCACCGACACCCAAGGAGATCCCACCGGAAGCTGTGGAGGAGTATATTAACATCATGGAAAGGCTGATGGGCAGTCACTTGACCACCAGGGAGTACAATGAAGAGGAAGAGAAACAGCAGGAGGATGAAGAAATGTATCCAGATCCGAGTCTCCTGGGCTACATGGAGGAGCTGTGTTCTCAGGAAGCCTTTGTCTCTAAGGTGGGCTGGGTCTGCATGACTGCCTTCTGGCAGATTCTGGGAATGGATACACTGGGGCACCAACCATGGTTTCTACCCGAGGCAGTAGGAAGTAGGCTGCATCTGTAACTGAGAAGTGGGCGTGCATACATGCACGCATGTAGCTGGTGACCATCATGGTCTCTAATGAACTCTGGGGGTGGGAGTGGGGGTGAAGGGAGTCATAGCTTCATCTCCAGAGCTACTCAGCTCATGGACTTCCTCCGGTTGAGGACTCACATCACATATCCTCTGTTCCCCAGGTGGAGGTTGTCCTCCACCCTCAATTTCTGGCAGATCTGCTGTCTCCAGAACAAGAGAGGGATCCTTTGGCCTTAATTGAGGAGTTGGAACAAGAAGAAGGACTCACTTTTGCCCAGGTAAACTTGGGAGGCAGGGATATGAGAAAAAGCTCATATGACTTTGTCTAACCAGTCTTGGATGATGTGGCTCTAGAGAGGAACAGCTTCAGGACTGTGCTTCAAGTGTAGGACAGGTAGGTAAGGGACTACAGAAACAGGAAATGAGGCACAAGAAGGTGGGAAGAGCAGCAGTGTCTGATACCATCACTTAAGCCACTTGCTTTCCTTCACTACCGTTCCCATCTGCCATCTCCTGCCCCCATGCAACAGTCTCTTTTTACAGCCATGTGTAGAACTGGTATTTGTCCATTGTCTTCCAGCTGATCCAGAAGCGACTCTTGGCCTTGGAAGAGGAGGATGCGGATGTGCCTCCGGACTGCAGTGCTCAGTTGGACTCCAGCCCTTCTGTTTCTGAAGAGGATGAAGATGGGGGTGGGTGGCCTCATTCGTCACCTGGGCCTCAGGGGACTGGGGGAACTATTGACATTGAAAAGCCTACTTTTTCAGGAAAGCAGGCAAGAGAAACACTTGGCAGGCAAGGGCAAGCCCTAGACGGTCCAAGGGATGGGAATGTTCTCTCATCCTCCAGCAGCTGGGACCTGCAGGAAGAGCTTGTCGCTCCACAGGGAGCTCAGGCACCCCTGGTTGTGGAGGAAAGAGGGTCTGGGGAGGTTGTAAGCGAGCTATCTCAGTATCAGGATAGCCTCCTGGAACATGCTAGGTCCCCTGGGCACTGCCTGATGGCTGACAGCATTCCAGAGGCTTTGCCCCTGTGCTGGCAGGAAAACGCCCAGCCCAAGACAGCTCACACTTTGGATGTTGGACTTGCAGAGCCAGATCCTTTGCAAGGTCAGGGGTTAGAAAAGCCTGACCTGGGGTGGCAGACAGGACAAGAGGCAGAGGAACTTGGAGTGCTCTCTCAAGGGACAGAGCCTTCAGGAGTGCCCCAGAAAGGCTCTGCAGGAGCCATGTGGGGAGCTGACAGAAGTCCTCCCATGGTTCAGACTTATGAGCAGAATCCTTCCCCTGGGACAGCTGAAGATAAGGACAGGGCCTTGGTCAGCCCAGGACTGTGGCTGAACAGTGAGATGGATGCTGTAAATTTGCCATTGCCCTTAGAAATTGAAGAGGTCATAGAGAGTTCCCAAGATGCAAAGTTTCTAACTGAGCACCAGGCACTGGGCTCTACCAACACCCTTTCTCTGGGTCCTGGAGCAACCACAGTGCCTGGGGACCTGGGCAGCAGTGTGATTCCCTGTGGAAGCACAGATATCCCAGCTGCCCTGGCAAAGAGAAACTATTGCAGTTTGGAAAGACCTCTGAGGGCCAACAGCCCACCCTTAGGATGCAAAGAAAACAGAGAACAGGGCCTTGAGGTTATACAGGATCCCAGTAATCTGTGGACTAAAGGTTGCTCCCTACTGCTGGAAAGCAGTGTTGGTGCCTCTGTATCAACTTTAGAGTCTTTTAAAGAAAGCCTGTTGCCCATGTGCCAAGGCAGTCTTCTTATTCTGGGAGCCCAGGATGGCTCTTTCCCAGAGGCCAGCCAAGATGCCGGGAGCAGAGGCAACCCTTTTTCTTTTCCATTAGAAACCACAGAAGTCAACCTACTCAATGTTAGAGATGAATATGGCCTCCAACTAGGCGTCAGTGAGGAGACCTGCCCACCAATACTTAATTCTTATGACCCGCAAGAGGAGGGCAGGAAAGACACTGATTTGTCTAAGCCTAGCCACCTTGTTCCTTCACAAGGTAATCAAGAGTCTTACACACGTGGGGCCCCCAAATCAACATCTCCTCTCCAGGGCCTTGGAAGCACTTCCTTTAGATGCAGAACCAAGGATGCTGTAGTTTTAAGAGAATCCTCTTGTAAGAGTAAAACACGTAACTCTGTAGATGGGGCCAAAAGAAGGCAGAAAGCTGAAGAGGAAGGGGAGGATGAGCAGCTCTCCAACTTTACTTACCTTTTGGCCTCAAAACTTAGCTTATCTCCCACAGGACTTCTTCTTGGTCCTCGCTGTGCCTCAGGAGGTGGGAGCACCCAGAAAGCACCCCACACATCCAGTGAGGCAGGAGGCCTCGGTCAACCCCCACTCCCTGTCGCCAAGTCTGGGAAGCAAGCTCTAGCTGGAGGTTCTGCCCCTGCTGCAAAGACACCACAGGCAGGTCACCTTGGGGAAAAATCTGTGGCCCAGGGAGTGAGGCCATCTTCACAGTCTCAGAAAAGGCGGCGTGACCCTTCTGTGGCAAGCAGGAGGAAGAAACACCGTCGTAGTCAGTAGGAAGCAGAGACCATCCTATCCTACCTGCCAGTCCCCAAAAGTGGGTGTCCTAGTGTAGATTTGACTGAGGCTGCTCACTGGTGGAGAATCAGCCTTAGACCAATGCTATGGTTTTGTATGAGGGATGGGAGGTTAGACGGGCTAGGTACATGGCCCCTTAGTGGGAAGTAAGGACCTTTGCAGAGTTGTATGCAAAAAAATAAAAGTTTTTTTGGTTGTTGAAAAATGCACTTCACCTGCACTTGTTTGAACGTTTCTGTTGCTAGATAGGGCAATGTGTTATGAATGTAGGTAGGGGTAGTTCCAGATTCTACAGATCCAGATAATATAACCTGGCTTTCAGGCTATGATTGGTCCCAAAACAGAAGTCTCCAAAGATCAGTTTACTTATTCACTCTTCATAAGCTGGACTTGGCATTAGGAGGGCTCATCTGGACATCTATTACTGTCTCCCTTTAACCTTATATATGGAAAGATGCTTTTTACCTGCCATCTATAGAACAGAGCTCTAACTTCCTAGCTCTAACTCCTGTATTTATGTCTAGACACAGTACCTTTAGGGGCTGTTTTCTTAAAAAGAAGTTGGACAGAAGGGACTTAAGTGTCCTTAGCTCATCCAGTGAGAAAGAAACTTTCCTGGGTAGTTCGTTTGATCTACTGGGGGAGGTACTTCCCTTTTGTGGGGGGCAGGGAACCGGGATAGAATTCTGGTCCTTGCGGCGCTTGTGAGGCAGGCAGTGGCACCACTGAGCTAAATCCCTGGTCCAGCAACCTCCTTTTGACACAGCTCCTGGCTCCCAGTGTCAGCAGTGAAATCAAGTCTCAGTAGGACTATTAAATATGGAATGGTAATAAGCTATTTTTAAATCTCTAATGGGGACAGAACAAGAGGGAATGGGCTGAGAGGTTCATGAGGAAGTCCATTAAAACACACACATTTAGGAGACAACAGCAGAAGGGGTGCTGTGACATCTGTACAGGAAAGAGCTGTGGTGTCCATCTGGGAGAGGACTCTGTAGTCAGAGCCAAGAGGTCTGACCTCTGGCAGATTCTGGGGCTTCCCAGGGGCATCCTGAAACTATTCATCCTTTTCCTTCCCATCTAATGATACCAGTAACGTGACTGAGCTTCATTTTTTAATAGATATAGATTTATATTTATATATAAAATAGTTTTTTACAAAAAGAAAAAAACCCAACCAAACAAAAAATTAAAATCAACTTAAAAAAACAACAAAAAACAAACAGGAGCAGAAATGGGGCTGAGGCAAAGGGTAGGCTCCTGGCGCTGCCCTGAGTTGCGGGGCTGGATTCGAGCTGCGGAGGCAGGGGCAGGAGGCTGAGGTGCTCAGTCGCCCTTCTGCTTGGGTGCCTCCATGGTCCCGTTGGCCAGAGCATTAGGGCTGCACGGGGACGAGGCATCTGGCACCTGGGAGGTGCCTCGAGGGCTGTGTGGGGGGCGCAGGTAGGTACTGAAGAGCTTCCCATAGAGCGGGTCGTGGAGGGAGAAGTTCTGGAACTGACCTGGACCAACAAAAGCGAGATGCAGAAAAATAAAGAGCCAAGAGTGAGAAGAGGAAGCACCTGCTCTTTTCTGTTTACCTTCTCAGATCCAGGTTCACGTCCGCTCCCTTTCCAGCTTATTCTTTCTTCCCAGCCTTCCTCTCAGAGGTTCTATCCCCCACGCTTACCACTGATCCTTGCTGCCTCTCACCCAATACTTTCTTCTCCACCTTCTTGGCACTACCACTACCCCAGTGCTTGTTCAGGGCCCAGAAGGCAATGACTCACCGAGGGAGAGGCCATGGCTGGGTCCTGCCTGGCACAGCTCAGCATGCAATGTCTTGGCAGCAGGGCGGGGTGAACCCAGCAGCAGGTGCAGGATGGTGCTGAAGCCGTCTTGGTATAGCAGACGGCCAGGTCCCTCTGCCTGCTCTTCAGCAAATAGCTTAGGAAGAAAGGATTCAAGTTAAGCTCTCTCCGCAGGCCACTGCCTCACCCTGCTCTGCCTCAGAGGCCCCTCTTCCAAAAGGAGGCACACAGGGCCTCTTGGGCCCTGTGTGACAACTGTGAACGAGCTTCTGCCCTCTTGTTCTTGTGATGACACAGACACTGGAGTTCTGCAGTTTTAGGCAGAGTGACACTGGATAGGACACCGAGCATACACTATCTAGAAGCTACTGGGAACAACACACTGCACAGGCTTCGTGATATGGTGAGCAGAGCTACCAGAAAAACCCTTTATCCACACTTCCCAGGTACCTCAAAGGCCAGGTGAGTCAGATCCTCCAGGCTCCTGCCTCCATCCAAAGCTGCTAGCGCAAGTGCCACATCTCGGAAGTCCACCAAACCATTGGCATCCTGGAGGGTCAAAGAGAAACCAGGGCAATGCAGGGATCTGAATCCTCCTCCTTGCTTTCTGGAGTTTGGCTCTTTCTCCTCCTCAGTAAGAATAGACTGACACCTTCAGATCTCAGCTCCAAACCATAAGATTCCCCAGTGCTTCTCTCAGGTCATGGGCTTGCCAGAATGAGCTATGCGAAGTCACCAGAGACAAAGCTCACCTACACAGAAATCTAGGAAGGTCAGGGAATCCCTTAGGAATTCCAATTTACACTGGAAGGCATTCCTGGCCCCCAAGCTGGACAAACTGGTTCTCTCCTCTGACCTATGTGGAAGAACTGGTCCAGAACTGGTCCAACAGAATAAAAGGGGGCTGCTGGCCTAATTTCTTACCAAAAAACCAAGCAGGATGCCTGTCATACCAGTCTACCATGTAGGCTGAGTCAGGGAGCTCCTTTCCAGGACAGTCGACCCCCAGTTTATAGAATCCATACACTAGGTCATTCTTCAGCATTCGGAGAATGTGTTTTTTTTTTTTTTTTTTTTGTACCGGGGATCAAACTCAGGTCTTTGTGCTTGTAAGGCAGGTGGTGGAACCACTCAGCTACATCCCCGGCCCTACATTTGGAGAATGTTGAGGGCCCCAGCCAATGTCTTAGATCAAAAAGATTTCCCTAGCACTGGGCATGGTGGCGCATGCCTGTAATCCTAGCACTCGGGAGGCTGAGGCAGGAGGATTGCTGTGAGTTTGAGACTAGCCTGGGCTGCACAGTGAGTTCCAGGTCAGTCTCAACTACATAGTGAGACCCTGTCTCAAAAAAACCAAAGATTTCCTTGGGGGCTGGGGATATAGTTCAGTGGCAGAGTACTTGCCTAGCATGTGTGACACCCTTGGTTTGACCCCAGTACCACAAACCAAAATCAAACCAAATCACCTCCTTGGGACCACTATTTGTTGTTCATAAATATTAAGAATCTTCTAGAAACATGGTCATAGCCCAAAAAATAGTTTGTCAAGATTATAGAGACAGTTCAGGAATCCCCCATTAACTAACCAGATATTTTAAAAAGCTACCCACGTTTTGCAAATACTCTGGGTCTTGAATTTACTATCTCACCAGTTCAGCAGTGTCTTTTCTCTGTCATCCTACCTAACCTTGAAGACTCCTCTTCAAAGATCCTGGGCGAGTGCCCCCAACGGTCATGACTCCCCATCTTGCCAATCTCTAAAGGGGATCCAGAAATCGATGGACCTGATTATTTCTCCCTTAACACAGTGTTCTTCAGGGCCGGGGATTTAGCTCAGTGGCACTGTGCCTGCTACAAAAGCAGAAGGTTCTGAGTTTGACCTCTCGTACCAAAACAAGGCAAAATAGTGTTCTTCGATGCACTGGATATTCAACAAAAACTGAACCTTTTGGTGGATCTCACAAGATGGTCATCTGTCATCAACAGTGGCTGAAATACCCAGGTCAGTCTCCTACTTGGGCATCCACAGAGACTGATGTGGCTGCTAGGATATTGTCCCAAAAACCTAGAGATCAAGCTCTGGGTTCTGCCCTCTATGTTCCACTCTTTTACCTGCTGAAAGTAGCTGAAGGCACCAGCCACTGTCTGAGGATCCAAGAGCTGTAGCTGCCTGGCAAACTCCTCCTGGCTGATCATTCGACTCCGGCCTGGCTCTGCCCCAGTATCCACACAGCCAGGGGACAACCTACAATGAAGTCATTAAAGGCAGGGAGCTGAGTTTCATTCTAGACACACCATGCATGCAGCAGGACCTTAGTCCCAGCACCAAACATTCTTCAAGCACAAGTTCTGCTGCTGGTTTACAATTTTTTTTTTCTTTTTTGGTGGTTCTGGGGGATTGAACCCAGGACCCTGTGCATGCTAGGCAAGTGCTCTACCACTGAGCTATACCCCCAGCTGCTGTTTTTTCAAGATGTACTGACTCACAGTCCCTTCAGAGTCCTTCTTACTTTTCTCACCTGCATTATTATATATATTCTTGTTTCCTTTCCCCTTTCCTTTAACTCTAATCTTTTCTAAACTCCTTTACATTCCTTTTTTTATTTTTTTGCTTAGGTCCCCCCATCTCTCCCCTTCTTTTCTTTTTCTATTAGTGTCACTGCTTGAACCTACATCTTCAGGGCTACTTACCCAGCCTTCCGAAGCACCTTTCCCAGTGCCCAGAGCTGCGGCTCCAAAGCCACCTTCAGCCGCCCAACCACAATGACAGGTAAGCTCCCTACAAACTCGCATTCAGTGGCCGGAATGCCCAGGGCCCTGAGGATGGAGCAGTGGGGGAAGGAAACAGAAGAAACTCTGAGGACTCATTATAGTCTGGCCTGATGCAGGCTCCTTTTTGGGGGAGGAAGAGTCTGGCCATGTAGTCCAGGCTGGCCTTGAATTCACTACTGTAGCCCAGGCACCCAGGCTGACCTCCAACTTAGGCCATCCTCCCGCCTCAGCCTTCCAAAGTGCTGAGATTGCAGGTGTGCACCACCATGCCTTGCTGTCTGCCTTATCTGCCTCAGAGCCTCGCCCCTTCACACCCTCCAGGTGGTTCCTTTGCCTTGTGTCTGTTCCAGGAAGCACTCTGTGAACACTCACTGTGCCATGACCCGCTGGACGTTGTTGGCATACAGGGTGGGGTCCCTGCTCTCCTCAGGGCTGGGCTGATACACCGGGAGGAACTGCAACACAGGCACACACAATGCTTAGTGGCTTCCGCCACTCCTTCTGCCAGGCTTTGGGGGTCAGTGGTACCCACCCTCCACCTCCGCCACGCAGTCATACCTCCACATCCACGATGCTGCAGGGCTGAGAGGCTGTGAGCCAGAGCACT